GGACGGTTTATCGATTCAAAAGCCAACAAGTTTGATCAGTTCTTCTGAGTTTTGACCGATTCTTACCACACACCAGGTTTATGTCATGATTTGAATTGATTTTATAATTGTTATCGGTTCAACCAATTGAACCGATTGGTTCGATCAGGTGTACATATAGTAGTTACTTTTGTACAATAATAAAAAATAATTAGCATAAAAGAGTTTACTCCTAAATCATTCAGTTTAGTAAAAAAGAAAAAAAAAATACTATACAACCCCCAAAAAAAAAAATATTAAAGTTGGGAGTTTAATTTACAAAAGAACTAAAGTTAAACTGGTAAAATAGCTCTTGCAAAATAGTGAAGTTTATGACATAATGTAAAGATCATAATTAAGCAAATAGGGGAAAAAATCATGATAATAAACAAGGAAAAATAGTAATAATGTATATAGGTATATTGCCGGAATATAACTAGAAAAGCATAAAGTATAATAACACTTACTGTGTCTAGTAGAGAACTTGATGTTGTTGCAAGATAAACTCTCACTTGAAAATGAAACTTGTTTTCAATCACTATGAAACGTAAAACTATGAAATTAGAGGAGAAAATTGGTTTAAATTATATATGTTAAATAAAATAGATAAAGGTGAGGAAACAAGAGGAAGACAGTAAACTAACATTAAACCAACTCAAATATGAAGGAGACAAAGTAAAATATTTCTTGACTACCTTAATATGTTGGGCAGAATATGATAAATTGAGAAAGGAAGATGAGTTGAAGATGGGAGGAAAGATGGATGCGTGGTTTGAGAAGGGAGATTGAAATGTAAAACTGGCCGGGTATGTGATTTGTATATCGAAATGGACTTTTAGCAACATGCATCATATGACTAACATTAACAAAAACTAATTTCATTGTGTCCCTGAACTATTGTTTTTGGTCCAAATATATCCATCAACTTTAAAGAATAAACAAACTACCATTGAACTTTATTTTTTTCATACCAATTTAGTCCTTTCATTTGTTAATTGACGATATGGCAGTGTTTTCCATGAACTAATAAAATTTTTTAAACTTTTTAGTGTTAAGTGGAAACTTACATAGTTGAAGTGCACAAATTTTTTGGGGCAAGTGATACACATTAACTAATTAACATGATGAAGTTTGAGGTTACTTTTTAATACATTTTCAATTTTAAGGATATATTTGGTTAAAAAAAGAAAGTTGAAGGACTATATTAGATTTTTAACGTACTTATTTCAACATTCACATGCTTACAGGACTTTCATCAACATGCGATAAGTTGCTGAAAGTTCCAATACAAGACTTTTAGCAACATGCGATAAGTTGCTGAAAGTTCCAATACAAGACTTTTAGCAACATGCAATAAGTTGCTGAAAGTTCTAATAACTTGTTCAATTCAAAACCAATTGATGGATTGGCAGAGTCAGTGAGATTATCTGAAAGTTGCAATAAATGGTGCAATTCAGAGTCGGTGAGATTCTTTGAAAGTTGCAATAAGTTGTTCAATTCAGAACAGATGGACTTGATGGATGGTAGAATTGGTGCGATTTTCTGAAAGTTGTAGAAGTGGTAATATAATTTGTGAAAATAACAAATTTATAAATATAAATCACACTATTATGTACCATTCATATATAATTTAATAGAAGTAGGAATATGAATAACATTAAATATTATTTTAATTATTATGGATAATTAACAATAATTTAATAAGATAAAAATAAATGATAAATTTATTATAATTTAAATGATAATAAAATCAATTATAATTAAATGTGATAATTTAAAATCATAATATAAAGGAAAAATACAAAAAAAAAAAAAAAATAAACTTGGTTGAAGAAAAATATATAAAAATAAGATTATATACTCTGCCTTTTCAAACAAAATTTTTTTTGAAAAAAGTTAAATATCCTTTTTATCACTTGAGAAAAAAAATCCATTTTTAGTTTTTTTTATTGAAAATATCTCTTTTTTTTTATCCTTAAAATTTAAAATTCAACCCTTTTGTACCCATCAATTAAATTTTAATTAATGTAAAAGATTAACTAATGAAAAAACTTATTTTTTTTTACTTAAATTATGTAAATAAATTCATTTGGTAAAATTTTTTTGTGTAATATATCTTTAAAAATTATTTAATGACATTATTATCATCATAATTATTTTAAAAGTTATTTTTTGAATATGAGTCCTTTCTTTAATTACTTATTTGCGTCCATCTTCTTTCCCCTTTGTCTTATCCTCCCCTTCCTCCGACCTTTTTTTTTCACCTTTGCAAATCAAAGATGGGTTCTCGCGAAGCTAGGAGTTGGAATCCAAAGGCATGAAATAGTAGCAAGAAATGACAAAAATATGCTTAAAAAGTAAAAATGATCAGATCATATTCGATGACATGAAATTAATCGCCGACCAATACAACAGGAGATTACTAACTTGTAAAGAAGAGATTCAAGTTCAAGTATAACAAATAAACATTTTGATTATTTTCGAAGAAAAGTTAAATTAGATTCAAGATTAGAACACTTCCATTGCAGATTCAAAAATGAGAACACCCAAACCGGACATCAAATCAAGAACAACCAAGGTTGGAAAATTAATTCTTCCAGATTTTAACTAACTCGATTGAAAATCAGAGATTCAACTTCTTCTATGAAACAATCTGAAATTCAACAATGATAACAATGGATCATGAAATTGAAACAAGACATATCCCGGCGGCGATCAAGAAAAAAGAAAACTGGGTTCCCTGTGGAATCCAGTATTTGAAGAGGATGGTAGATAGGATTCGAAGGATGAGGATGAGGAGCAGGAGAATGAGGAAATGAGAGAAGCAACGAAGAAGATAGGAGTTTAAAATTAGTTTCAGTTATATTCATTTAATTTATGAATTAAAAAATAAAGTTTTTAAGTACATACGTTGAAACAATTAATATTCCATTATTAAAATCTTTTTTTAAGCAATTACTTATCAGCAAGATGAGCCTTGTCGGTGAAAATATTTTCACTGACAAGGTTCATCTTGCTAATGTCTAATTCCCTCAAAGGAAATTTAACTTTTAGTAAGGTTAAATAACTAATTTGATCCTTGAACTTTTAATTTTGAACCAAGTTCATCCTTAAACTTACTAAATTATCGAATTTGTACTTAAACTTTATTTTTTTTCGTTGCCAACTAGTTAATTTTCCTTAAAATTTAAATTTAATTAACATTGTAAATGATAATTATTTAATTATATATGTTATAACTAATTGATATTATTTAATTATTTAATTGATTACATAGATGACCAAGTTTGATTGTATATAGACGGATTTTACTAGATAATCATAAGAAAACAAGAGAAATTAGAAAAAAAAATTGAAGAACATAAGTAAGGCAATGATATTACGGTTCTTGAATGGATCATAATTTTTGAATGGCAGTATCCCAACACTTTTTTTCAAATGTAAGATGCCTACCATTACCAAAAGTCTTTGTAATTGTTTTTAAGGACTCAACAGGGGTTTTGGGTGGATTTGATAGAAATGGTGATTGATAACGATTCGAGCAAAATTTTGCAATATGACCCTCACGGTTACATAGTTGACAAGTTACAGTATATCGGTGCGGGCAAACTGTAGCTAAATGTCTAGGAGTATCACATATTTATATTTGACAAACAGAGTAGTCTACAATATTAGACAATGGAATGTGTTGGTTAGTTGATACATTATTTTTTGGTTTTTTCAACTTCCTTTTGGGAGAACTTTGAGATGGGCAATTCTATAATGATTCAGGAGTATCCTCAATGATTCCTATGTAAAATAACATAAAGTTAAGTAATATGATAGTAAATAGGGTGCACGAACGAGAAATGAGAAATAAGGGAAGGAAAAAAAAGGTTATACCATCATATTGGTTGTCAAAATATTCTTGACTTTCCAATTGGTTGTCAAAATAATCTTGACTTTCCAATTGGTTGTCAAAATATTCTTGACTTTCCAATTGGCTATCAAAATATTGTTGACTCTCCATTAAGCAACAGAAAAAAGAGTTTTGATATTTATAAAAGCTATTACTTTTAAATTATGATATAAAAATAATTACGTGGGAGTGAAAAAAAGTGAATTGCAAAAGTAAGAGAGAAATAGCAAGAAATTAATAGTGTGTGCATAATGGTTGGGGAAGGTGTATATATAATGGCTTTGGCCAACCATCGGTCAAAGAGGTTAATATCAGCAACATATTCCTTGTTGTTGATATTTGGTTGGTAGAAAGATAGGAATAACGACAACATGGTATATGTTGCTAATACTTAAGGTAGTTGGAAAGGTTTTCAGCAACATAACTCTTGTTGCTGAAAGTGAATTTCAGCAACAAGGAACATGTTGCTGAAAGTGAAGCTCAATTAAATGGGAAAGGATTCACCAGAAAATATCAGCAAGGTAGAGTATGTTGCTGAAAGTAACTTTCAGCAAGAAGAAGTATATTGCTGAAAGTGGAGCAGCTTTTCAAGGGGTGGAGTGTCCTGTACAACTTTCAGCAACATAGGGCTTGTTGCTAATACATATTTTCAGCAATAAAGAATCCCACGTTGCTGATATATTGTTGTTAAAAATCATAGTTTTAGTAGTGTTCGTCCTACTGTGGCAGCTCTTTAAGCAGGCTATTGGATTCTGGATCCAATATGACAGTGTTCAATAATGGCTTCGGAGGCTTCCGAGTTGGAAAGACCTTTTATATATGTATATATGTACTAGCTGAGTATGTCTTCCAAAATGTATGTTTTTGTTGAATGTTAGTGGTTTGATTTTATTTAAAGCAATTAATTTTTGAATTTTTCCTTTTTCTTTTTACCAAATTCTCTTTCAAATAGTTATAGACTTATCTACACAGATATGGAGTCCTCAATCTTTGAGTGTAACTGTAGCATGATTCCTTTTATGATATGAATATTTTAATTTTTTTTTTCCAATTTTTGATAGTCTCTGTGTGCATTTTCAATTGATAGACAAAAAAGGTTGTTATGTAGACTTCTATCTGCTCTAGGGAACAAATATATGAGAATGTTGGCTTATTACTGGATTTGATAACCATTCGTCTCCAGTTTAAGACTAAGAACGGGTGTCTTGTTATATAGAATTTTATATTCATAACTTGATGCACCAAGAAAAATTATGCACTTCTATGACTTTAGCCTGATCATTTATCTTTGTTGATCTTAGGAATGTGGGGGAGTTGTATCGTCGCCAATGTTTGCAGTCACATGATTTTATGATTTGCCGTGGTTATGTGATCTTAGGAATATTTTTTATGAGAGATATGGGAATTCTTTGGGATTTCTTTTTTTTGAACATAATTCTTTGGAATTGTTTGTTAATCAATAGGTATATCTCTGTCAAAATCACACCAATTAAATACTACTTTACATATCATTACAACATTTTTTTTTTTGACTATTTTTTCAAGGTAGTTTGTTGAGAATTTAGCATCAAAACGTTTTACATGAGAGAAGAAAGTCATGTTGATGCAAGAAGTTAATAGCATTAGAATTTTCAATAAAATGGGACTCTAGGGCCTTTGAGCAAAGGATATGTCGAAGCTGGCTGCAATTGCTGAGGTAATTCCCTTTTTATGTTTGATTTTCACTTTTTTCTGCATTCTCATTGGTATTATGTCGCGTGGATCTTCTCACATATCTGTTCTCTTTCAACAGGGCCAACGAAGGACTTGGGTCTTCCCATGTGACAAGTTGAAATCAAGCAATGAGAATGTTGCCCTATTAACAAGAAACAAGACTAGTGTTTCCGCTAAAGAAAAGTTTGAAATAGGTAATTCTGCAATGGCAAGAAGGATAATTGCCTTGAATAATTGGTTCGATATGTTTTTTTCTTCCTCATCTTTCTTCAACCAAGCAAAAAGGGGAGAAATAGAAAGAATTCCATAGAACAAATGGTCAATTGTGCAGATTTTGTGTGCAAGTATGCAAAACAACAGTTAACATACACTGCTTGAGCATATCGTTGTATCAATGAGTCCTCTGGATAGTTATAATTGTATTCTACTGCTCTTTTGTATGTGTTTTTCTGTCTGACATAAGTCATGATTGCTTTTGTTGTTAGGTTGGTCAAACTGGAAAAAAAATCATGCCTCTAGAATTGTACGTGGGATTTGGTGTTTCGGGAGCCATTCATCATTTAGCTAGCATGATAGATTCCAAAGTTGTTGGTTGCTGTTAACAAAGATGCTAATGCCTCCATTTCCCAGGTACATGGGATTTGGTGTTTTGGGAGTCATTTATGCCAACATACAAACACACACGGAGCACCAACAATACAGACACAAACAGGCACAAAAAGGAGGCAATACTTTAAGTTGTGACTTCATAAGCTTGAAGGTATTATTTTAGGTAAAATACAAAACTAACTAGAGCTGCTTTGGCCTAGTATTGCATTTAAAGATGCCATAATAATCATAAGCTTCTGGGAATTGAATTTAGATAGCAAGTATTCTAAATAATCATAGTCCGCGTAACACTTTGATTAAAAAGTAAAAATTGATATTTTTGGTGACTTTATAGAAAGTGAGATAATGTTCTATCAAAGTGAATTCTAATTGAAGCTTTTTGAAATGCAAATGTGATTTTTATCCTTGGCAAAAGAAATTACTACTTAGCGTTGTAGGGATTTTAACCACTAACTTTGAGTGCTTTTGGAAACCAAGGATATATTAAAATAAATCCAAGTTCTTGAGTGTAAATTGATGTTTTTTTTTTTTTAATAAGGACAATGGTTAGTAAGTTAGTATTATTAAATATTAGCAATTGAGGATTCGATTCTCAGATTTGGTGAATAGTTCACCGACCTCAATAAGACGCGTGACTATCGAACCGTGTGATAGAGTTGGAGTGTAAATTGATGTTGGTAGAAAAAAAAGTAAGGATTCTGTTTTATGATCTTTATAGTTTAATATTTTTAAAACAGCAAGAATTCGGTAACATCTGTCAATGATGATGCTATCAGAATTCCATTGCTACTTGCATGATTAGTCTACAATTTTTGGGTTTGGAACTTCTCTTTCTCTTCCATTTGCTTTGGTTACTTGCATTGCAGTATAAATTTTTCTATTTGGTTGGAATGTTGCAGGACTAGAAAAACTCCTAAAGCTCTTAAAAAGAAGGTCAAACCCCCTTTTTTCGGCATTGAGGATATTACTATTTTTGGTAATTAAAACCTTTAAGAATTTTTATTTTTAGTCAAAATTTTTGATAATTTAAAATTTATAAAAAATTTAAAAATTAACGATTAAACTTTTTATTTGTACTTTGACTTATTTATTATTTAAAATTTTTTTTTTAAAATTTTAAATTATAAAAAATATTGGTTGAACATGAAAATTTTAAAAAATATTCATTACAAAAAATAATAATATTGATCGTGCAAATAAGAGTTTAGTTAGAGAAGAAAGGTGCTGAAAGTCAATACAACTCAACATTTCTAAATTGTAATTGCAGCATTTAAGGGCTTGAACGATTAAGAACAACTTCCGAGTAACTTTACCGGCAGTTGTTTTCCGCCAAGAAAACACACGGACCTTAGGCTGGGTCGGGGACTGATTTTCCGGGGAAACAATCGTTGCAGCCTCTCGATCTCCATCCACTTGTCACCGTCCCCGCTCCAGACCAGAGACTCCCCGCTGTTTACACATCCATCTTCATTGTCGACGAGACTCCGCCGTTTGCACCAATCTTCACCGAGAGCTCCCCTCTGCAACCCACAAAGAAAGTAAAACCTACAGTCTCAAACAATCGAGAACCGGGGGATTCAGATTTCCTTTGCCACCACACAGTTGCTTCTTCCCTTCACGTGCATCACCACCGAACAACCCGCCTAAGAAGACCAGAGCAAGAACAGAGCAACCATACTCGAGGAGGTTAGGCTTTTTTCTTCCTTTTGCTCTTATTTTTCTTGTTTCTTTATTATTGGATTTAAATGCCCTGAATACTGATTCTCTGTAAGTTGTACTATGTATAGAATGTAGGATAACATATAAGGAATGTACAATAATTTGCTGACCGTTGCTGATTGACTAGTAATTCCCTTGCTTATTTCCTTGATTTCTTTTCATTTTTGTTTTGCGCTCTTTCCTTCTTTGCTGTATCAGTCTCCTTCTTCTGATTTCTTTGCTTGCTGTGATCTTAGCCTCCTGTATTGCTCTCATAAATGTGTTTGAAGAAATGCCAAAACCAAAAAAGCTTGAGTGGTTGATACATTTGTTTGATTTGTTATCCTATTTACAAATTTTTAACAACCTAGATTTTGATTTTAAATCTGTCCTCTTCTTGGTCAATGCCACTGCTGAAGCAACAAAGTTAAGCTTTGTGATTTTGGGTTTAATTTGTCAAGTAGGACATTGAAGACAAGGTGATATTTCCTTTTCCTTTTGTTTCAAATTCTGCATTTCTATACCCATGTGGGTGTTTATGGTTTTGTTAATTGATAGGTTGTTTGGATTACTGAGCCAGCCGAGGGATTGATATGAAGTTCTAGTCTTTCTCTTTTGTTTTCCCCCTTTTTTTTTTCATTTTTTCATTTTTTTTTTGCAATTTATTGATGTGTCTCTTTTTTTTCTTTTTCTTTTTTACACCTTCTAGTGATGTTTCTTCTTCTAAATTTCTGTGCTTTCTTGAATTTATAGCTTTAAAGTTTCTTGTTTTGAGATTCTTAAATGATCAAAAGTGTAGTTACCTAGTTGCTTATTTTGGTCTGTGTTAGATATGGAATTGAAGATGATAGTATCATTGTTGTTGTTGTTGTTGATGTTGGGACTTGTGTTAGTCTTTGAGAAACTGTCCTACACAAATATCGTTGTTATTAACGATGGATATGTAGCTTGAGAATTGGAATCTTTATTTTGCTTTCTGGGAAAAGTGGTAAATTTTGGAAATCACCTAGCCTGCTCTCTCTTTTGAGCTGAATTACATTCCTCAGGCGAGGTTCTTGCTAAACAATTGGCGAGTTTAGGGGCCAAGCTAATCCTTTCAGCACGAAATGAAGCTGAATTAGAGCAAGTTAAGCAGCAACTTACTGGTATGCCAGAATTGGCTCCAAGAATTGGTATGCCAAAATTGGCTTCCAATTCTGGGATACTATGTTGGTGCAAGGTCTGACTCAAGATTTACTGGGATGGTCATATTGGGAAGAACAGGGTATCAGGTGAGCATAGCAGAAACAAAAGCAGCACCAAAATCTTTCCTAATCTATTTGAAATTGTTAGGAGTAAACTAAATTGAGTCCAAATAAATTATGGCAGCAGCTAAAAAAAAAGCAAAATGATAGAAATGGCAAAGGCAAACCCACCATCACAAGAGACAATATTTTTACACGGAAAACCTTAAAAATGGATAAAAACCATGGGACATCCAGTCCACTAAAGAAGCTCCACTACAATAAAAGAGAGTACACAATATACTCTTCTAAAAAAGGCACAAAAACAGCACCAAATAAGATAAATAATAGGTCACAAACCAAAAAAAAAGGGGACCACAAGAAAATAGATTACCCAAAAAATGAGTTACTGTTTTGGGCATAAATCAGATCCTACAGAGTTTCAAACGAAAAATTAACCATTTAGAATGTAGATCTATGTCTTATGAATACCACACAAAATTTTAGCTCAATCTAAGTGAATTTTTACAAATAGAACGAAGTTACAAACCTGTGCACTGTACCAAATCTGCAGAATTCTCGTGCTTTCTTTCCCTTTCTGCCGGCTGGTCCACTCACATGCTCTCCACTTTCTACTGTCCAAATTAGACTTCTTTGTTTGTCTTAAAGAGCTACAGAATATGGCTTCAAGTGGGCTTGACAAGTGTGGGTTTAGTCCACAAATATTGGTCATTTTTCCACATTGGAGGGATAGGCCTAATCCAATAGTTCAATGGTGATAGGACCCTTGGAGAGAGGGAGTCTATCTCAACTAGAGGTGAGCATGGGTAGGTATGGGTCAAGTATTTATTCATACTTGTGCTTGACTTGAATGGTGATAGGTATAAGATTTTAATATTTAGTACTTACTTGGATATTGAAAATTTATATCCATTATCGAACTTGTTAGGTATAGGTATACGCACAGGTATACTTATATATTTGTTAAATTTTACATTGAAAATACATAAGTTAATATATAACTATAAGTTTATACATATAATACAAGTTTATATCTAAAACAAAATATGTGAGTATATACACTCACATATACACAAGTTTATATATACAATAACAAAAGAAATACAAACAAAAATCTGTATGATTTTCCTTTAATTGAATCTTCACTGTCAAAAGAAAAGAAAAGAAAAGAAAAGAAAAAAAAAATAAACATGTTAATTTCATAACAGTATATTACAAATTAAGCATACAAAATTAGAATATAGATCAAGTATATTAGTCAAATATATAGGTCAAGTATATGGATTAGGCATATAGGTGTTTACTCTCATATCTAATATTTACTCGATACTTAGCATGTATGCATTTCTTATACTCAATATTTCACTGTCTTTACAGATATAAGTAAAATATCTACCCAAACAAATTAGGTACCTACATATATCAGATATACTTGTACCTAATGTTTAGCTCTAATCTCAACACAAGATGTGGTTCTAGAGGATGAGGATGAGCTAAGGAATGGATCGCACAGGTGGAGTCAGGAGTACTAATAACTTTTATGTCTCTTCCTAATGGAGGAAATGATCTAAAACGGAATTCGCTTCAGAGGTTGACTATTTAGAGAATGGATGGTTAAGAAAAAGGGATAAAATAGCACATGCAATGTGGGATGACTAGTTATGGGCAGAAGCACCCCTTGTGCTTCATTAAATTAAATTACCTTTTCTTTGGCTGATCAAAAAAAAAAAAAATGTGGGATGACTAGTTAGTAAGAAGGATGATGTAACTTTTTTCTATATTTGAAAATTTTTGAAATTTTAATAGTTATAAAATTAATTTTATAAAAAAAAATATTTTAAAAAATTTAAAAGATTTTCCATAACTTAACAAACAAAGGAAAATATTTTTCCTATCAAGTTTTTCAAAGTATTTCAAGCATAAAAAAAATAACTTTTTAAAAACAAATGTTTTTTTATAAAAAATATTTTCCAAATTAATGTGATTTTTCACGAACTAAATAGACCCTATGTTATTTCATTGCAACTCCCTTTGCGAGGCCCAGTTGTTCATCATTGGATGCCAATTGACAGAGCAATTGGAGGGCAAATTTGGTACCGTGTTGTGAACAACCCTCCTTGCCATATTCTTCATTTCCTTCTTTGTTCTCATCTCACACTTTATAAGACTGTGGGTGCTGGTGATATTTCTGAATAGGATTCTTTTCACAGTACGAGACGGGATGCAACTTAATTAGCTGTCAAATCTCCAGAAGGAATTGAAGCTTGAGGGCTCTAGGACATCGCATAAATTCGGTGTTGCTGTTGGAAGGGGGGAGTGGGGGGGTTCAAGGTCAAGGAGATGATAAAGGGATGCTTTTTAATTTATGAATCGGATTCCTTTAACAGTACGAGACGGGAGACAACTTATCTAACGTCAAATCTCAAGAGGAAATTGAAGCTTGAGGGCTCTAGGACATCACATGAATTCGGTGTAGCTGTTGGAAGGGGGGAGGGGGGCTTCAAGGTCAAGGAGATGATAAAGGGATGCTTTTAATGTCTTTTTCTCTTTGAAAATCAGAGAGTTTCGGTGTTTGAGAGCACGTCAGTTTTTATTTCTTTCATGGTGAAAATGTGCAACAATTATATTGTAACATGTGCACAAATTAGAAAATTCTAGTCTAATACCTGGTCATTACTAGTGCTATTAATTATGGTTTTCCTTCTTCTAATGAGTTATTAAAATTGTAATTAATGCACTATTTTTACATTAATTGATATTTAAAAAATAAAAACTGATTTGTAATTAAGGAATTTTCAAATTTATTATGTGTTGTGAATGCATTTATAATACCTTTTATTATTAATTTGGACAGTGATTGGTATATTTTTTGGTTTAATATTCGGTTCAACATTTTTTGGTTTAGTTGTTAAAAAATTATTATTTTTTAATTTGAAATTAAAAATAGATAAGTATAATGATATAATCATGCACACATGATACATGAATTGATTAAATTGACTGAATTTATATTATATTTTTAATATTAAATCAAAATGTGTTAAATTGGACAGTGTATCAATCATTTTCTTAGTAATTTATATGAAAATAATAAAAGTTGGTTTTGATTTTATCAATTATATAATTAAAATGTTTTAAGTAACATTAGTATTAAAAATAAATTTTGTTTTCATAATTTTTCATACAAATTTATAATAAAAATATAATAAATATATTCTTAACATATGTTTTTAAAATTTTTTAATTAATTAACTATTTAATTAAAATAAAAATAAATTTTTTTAATTTAAATAAATATATATTTTAATTACTACAAGTTCAATTCAGACTTTTTTAACTTGTGTTTTTTTTTTTCCCTCTATCGGGCAAAACATATTTTATTAATTGGACTCAAAGGATGCTCCCTCCCATTAGATTCCAAGACTACACACAAAACAGAACATTTCAAAAATGAATGAACGCTGACTTTTCATGCACAAGAAAGCCACTCAATTATGTCCCCTCCTAATGTAGTTGTCTTTTGTACATTAAACTTATCTTAAATTAATTGCTTATTTTTTTTTTTTGAAATGCAAAGAAAGCTTTATTATGTGTTGCGGGTACCAGGAGTACACCAGGCCAACACTAAATTGAGAAAGTTACAAATTGAGTGACAAAAAACAATCAATCCTGGAGGGATGGACGTGCCTTTGGCTGTATGTGAGACTTTGCTTGTTGCTTGCAGATGCTGGTCAGACAATCAGTTGGATTATGGAGCCAATCTGATAGGGAGAAGACACAGCCTCCGTCTCTACTTTTTAGCCATCTAAATGTCCTTATTTGCACCAGCTCCAAGAGCCTCCTTCTGTCTGGTTCCTTCTCTCGAAAGATCTTCTCATTTCTAGCAAGCCATAACGACCAAACAATACCAAACCAAATGCATTCCCATCCCTCCTTCCATTTTGCTCTACTAAGTGGGTTTGGGAGCTGCTGGAACACCTTCCAGCAGTCTTTATCAAGCACATGTATAAAACCCCACCATTTAAAACAAGCATTCCAAAGATGCCAAGCAAAATTACAGTGTATAAAGAGGTGACTAGTATTCTCTGCTTCCCTACCACATAGGGCACATTTGCAATCTTCAAGAGTTGGAATAATACCTCTTTTATGCAGATTAAGCTTTGTGGGGATTTTGTCCTGCAGTAATTGCCATGAAAAAGCCGAGATTTTGTTGGGAATCAGCTTGTTCCATACATTCTGGAGTTCCATTCCATGCTGCTCCGTTCTAGTCTCCCTTGTGAGTATTTGATATGCTGAATTTGTGGAGTAAGTTCCATCTTTGCTGTGAGCCCATTCCCAAAGGTCCGGTTTGCCTCTAATGAGTCTTATGTCTTGAATGTCCTTTTGTAAGTCTCCTGCTTGTTGAGTTTCCCAGCTGAAGAGGTTTCGTCTCCATTGAAGGTTCCATTCCCATTTACCGTTAAGCCATTCTCCCATTTGGGGGAATTTGTCATCCTTCCCTGTAGATAGAGAGTAAAGTCTAGGATATTTGTTAGCAAGGCACCCTTCCCCTCTCCAGTTGTCCCACCAGAATTTAGTACTAACCCCTTCACCTACTTTTAAATTAAAACCATCAGCTATCCATCCCCTTTTTTCCCCTGCTATTGTGTTTACTCTACATATGTCCCTCCACCATTTTGTTCCACTGTTATTCTCCTTTCTCAGCCAGTAGTAGCTATGTTCCCCCGCCCTCCCATACTTTTCAAAAATAATTTTTTTCCATAGCCCTTTTTCCTCCGACACTAATTTCCCCCACCATTTTCCTAAGAGAGCCATATTGAACTTCCTAAGATCTTTTACTCCCAAACCACCTTTCTTCTTATCCTTACACACCACTTCCCATTTTACCCAATTGATCTTCTTACCCCCTTCAGTCCCACCCCATAAAAATCGTCTGCGAATTTGATCAAGGAGCAGAATCGTACCTTTGGGTATCAAGTATACCGACATCCAGAAGACCGGGAGACTATCGAGCACTGAGTTAATAAGAGTAATGCGACCTCCGAGGGATAGAAACCGACCCTTCCATTTGGATAATTTCTTGCTGAAAATGTCTATCAACGGTTTCCAGAAGGCAATCTTCCCGTAGCGTCCCCCAATCGGGATGCCTAAGTATTTGAAGGGGAATGATCCCTTTTTGCAGCACAGCACCCATGACATTTTTTCTACCCATTCTTCCTCCACACAAATGCCAATTAAATGGCTCTTATTGAAATTGATCTTAAGTCCCGACACCAATTCGAAGGATCTTAAGATTGCTTTCATTGCCCATACATTATCCTCCG